ATATTATCCCATAGGTCCCTTATATTGTTTTCATTGTTTTTTATTTGTTTTTCTCTCAGCTGTTCTGCTTGGGTGCTTTCTGTTGTCCTGTCTTCTAGATCACTTGTACACCTGCTTTGTACAGCCTTTAGGTCAGATCTCATCTCAGCAAATGAGTGTACTGATTCTACCTGGCTCTTTTTTATAGCTTCAATTTCACTTCTGACATATTTTATATCTCTAAACACTATCTCTTCTAGTTCCTTCAGTACTTTGATCACTTCTTTTTTGAAATCTTGACCTAGTAGGCCATCAGTGTCTATTTCATTGATCGTGCTTTCAGGGGATTTCTCTTGATCTTTTAATTGGGAGTGGTTCCTCTGCTTCTTCATATCGCTCATATCTCTCTGGCACTGTGGCTTAAGCAGTATCAGTTATCTATTGTGGTCCTTAAGGAGTTTATTTATTTATCTACCTAAAGGCTATGCAGGAGTAAAACTTCAAAAAAAAAGAGAATTTTAAGAGTGGGGGAAAAAAAGGTTTGAAAACAGTGTAGAATCAATAATAGAAGAGCAAGTTGAAGCAGAATAGCAATTGAGTTGAGACGTCTTTTAAAAACCTTAAAAAAAAAGGAGAAAAAAATCAGAAAACAATATTTGAAACCTGTGTATAATCAGTAACAGGAGATCGAAACCAAGAGAAATAACAATGAAATGAGGTGGATTTTTAAAAAATAGTAGTAATAAAAAGATTTTAAAAGAAAAATTCAAAAGGAATTAAAACTGTAGACATATACAACTGTTTAAAAAGTAAAAATTAAAAAGGTAATAGAACAGATATAAAAAAATTAAGAAAAAAAAGGATGTGTTCTCCTGAAGACTGTGCACTCTTAATGATTTTATCAAGGAGTCTTTCTGTCTTCCCCCTGTTTCGCGAACTCAGCTTGCTGTTTCCAAAGGCCCTCCATTGGCGCCCTCGTCTGTGCTGGTCTGCGCTGCTCCCCCTGTCGGCAAGCAGATCGCACCCCCTCCCAGCACCATGGTTAGGTGCTGCATTCCTGCTGGGAAGGCGGGTGGCCGACTGTCCTCTCCCAGCGCTGGTTGCTCCACTGCTCTGTGCAGCTGCCCACTCGGCCTCAGGTCAGCGCTCCGTAGGCGGGCTCGGGGAAGACCGCAGAACAGCCCGTGCCCCTGCTGCATGCCAAAACCCAGCTCTGTGCTTGTCTTGGCAGCAGTTCTCTGAAGTGCCAGGACAGAAAGACCCTATCTGCCTCGGGCTGTAAACAAGTCTCAGTCCTGCCTAGGAGGTTGCAGAGCCCCTGGGTGCGGATTCAGGGCTCGGCCCCACCCCCGCCGGGGCGCTCTGCACAGGAGGAGATGGCAGCTGTGGCTGCGCCCCACCTCTCTTCTTGCAAAAATCGCCAGTAATGGCGGCGCAGGTCTGAGGAGACAAAGGTTATGGTGCCCCTCCCCCCAGGGCACACCGGCAGTGTTGCTTTGCGTTTTTTTTTGGTAATTTATGGGGGCTCAGGTTGTTCTGCTCCGTATCCCCTCCCAGCCACAGTGAGCAGCACCCTGCCATCCCCCGGGGCTGCCTCGGTTCAGCCGCCCCCGTCCTCTGCCCGTCTCCCGCGGGCTGACCCGGCCCCTGGCTGCCGTCTTGCGTCTTGGGCTGGGTGTCGCGGGGACCCCTTGTGCCTGTTTAACTTAGTTCTGTCGCTCACGGGCTGCTCCGTGCAGATCTGAGCCTCGGAGGTTCCCCTCTGTCCCACTGGCCTCTTCACTGGAGGCGGGAGACCCAGCGAACGAGCGCCAGTCCTCCTTTGCCGCTCCCTCCCTGTGGGACTGGTCCCGCACTGTTTTGCTTTTTCTTCTTTCTTTTTTCCTTTTTCTTATCAGGTTTGTGGTGTCTTTGTCTTTTGAAGAGGGCGATGTTCTGGCGGAGTTCCGCAGGTGCTCTGGTTGGCTAGGTGGGTCCGCGGATGTGAGTTTTGGTGTATTTGTGGGAGAGGGTGAGCTACAAGCATCCTTCTGCTCCGCCATCTTGGTCCTGCCTCCCAATCATATTTTAATACACTGATTATGTTTTAAAAATTAAGCAAGATAGTAATAAATATTATTTGATCTTGAAATGATCTATAAGATACCTGTCCTCATGTATAATCTAGGTGGCCAAAAAAGTAAAATATGTATAATCTTACATGACAAAGACTTAAGAATAAAAGAGTATATGGTCACATGAAAAATAAATAGCTAAAGACTCACCGGAATGCTTGATTCAGAATTTGATAATGAAAATGTTCTGGTGCCAGTCCTATGACCACAGCATTAGGATCACTTGTTTGTATTCCTGGGAATGAAAAGAAAAAATCATTGAGAAATGCAATTAACAGTGATGTCACATTTTATAATAAAGTAATTTTAGTCAATCAAGTATAAATTTTTGCTATGACCATAATCTACAGTTTAAGAGATTATCCTGCCCAGTGTAGTTTGGAAGTATAGTCAATCCTTAGAAGAAAAAAAAAAGGTCTGCTAGTGTTTTTGTGTATTCCTTTTGCATAGTCTTACACCTCCTTAGTAACTAGAAGATTTGATCTGAAACTTGTAACCTGATGCTAACAAGTAACAATTTCTAACTTCAAAAGCTTTACTGATTACAATCAACAGCCCTGAGTTAAAGCCATCAGATCAATAGCACCTGATGAGGGACTGAAAAGCTAAGAGGCAAAAGAAATTAGACTCTCTAATTGACACAGTTAAGGCTAACACATTCATGATAAATACAGAATGCACCATAGATTTTACACTTTTCTACATAATGTCTATTCCACTTTTAGTTTCACAAACATTATTTTATAATTAAAACATGTTTTAAGGCCTTGGTACATGATGACAGGACTCCAGATACAGAACCAAACAAGTACATTCACCATCACAGTTACTACAGGTCTGACTGAAGGTCCTGTGTATTATCCCTCTGCCAATTCCTATTTGCCTCTCTCACTGCCTGCCTTTAAGCGTTCTCATTATTAGTTCTACCAACATGTGAGGGGAAGAAACAGAAAGAGCAGATATCCAAGATTTCCAATTTCCTCCTTACCAGCAGCCAGGGTATTGAGTAACTGGTTAAAGTTCGTTGAAGGAAGAAAATAAAATCAATGGCTCCAGTTAAGTTGTGTTCTTTTTATTATCTCCATCTACTGCTACCAAAGATATTCAATATTAGCAAAGATATTTCCATTCCCTTCAAAAACCCATCCAGTTTGGGTATTTTCATGTATATAAAGATGATGCAAGTTTAGTCCTACACCAAATAACAAAGATTTCTTTCAGACCAGGGATTCTGCTTATATATGCCAACTCCAGCTCATTGCTAACACAACTAGAATCTTAACTTTCTTCAAAATAAAGTAAAAAATCTGAATAAATTGTTTTGCAGTGCTTCAGCTAACCCAGAAATATACATATGGATTATAGAATGTATTTGTCATTATTTTTGGTTTCTGCATAGCATTTTCATTACTAGGGAATCCACCAGTTCATAAGGCTTGGTAAGAAGCAGAGCTTACCCTCTCCTAAGAAGATGAAAACACCAGAGACTCACTTTCCCAGCCTCCCTGCAGCTACGGATACTGGCTTGAGACGGAGGTTCTGCCCATTAAAAGCACCCACCCAGGGCTTTAGACCTGGAGCTAGTGACACAAAGCAGCAGGGAGAACCCCCCTGGGAATTCTGAGGCAGCAGTGCTAGCTGGAACACCCAATCTCCAGCGGCACTGGGGTCAACAGGCAAGCTGGGAGGTCAGCGCTCAGTAGGGATGTCAGGGGAACCCGGTCAGTTCTCACACGGGATGGTGAACACTGCTCCTCGCTCACCGCACAGCCCAGCGCCTGACGCTAATCCAGCTCCCCCTGGCAGTTCCGTGGGCTACCCAAACAGCCTTTCTTTCTGTCATAGACATCTTAAAAAATAGAAAGACTAGCTCATAATGAGCCCTAATGTACCCATCACCCAGCTTTAGGTGTGCCAATCTTATCTATCATCCTCTAGATTTTTTAAAGTAAATCCCAGATATCACATCATCTCATCCCTTCATACTTTGCTATGTATCTTTAATGATAAAGACATAAAAATAACTATCTTAACACTATTATACCAACAAAGTTAATAATAATTCTTTAATATTACTCAGCATCTAGTCCACATCTGAATTTCCCCAAATGTCTCAAAATGTCTTTCCACATCCAGTATGTAACTGGCACCCAACATTGCACTTGACTGTTATCCTTTACATCTCCTGCTACAGCAGCATTCCTCCCCACTTACTCGAGCAACTAGATCATCAACCCTGGAAAAGGTCCCACGTTCTGCATTTGGCTGACTGTAATATTATTTAATGTGTTCCTTTACTCTTCTTATTTCCCGTAAACCAGTAACTGGATCTAGAGGCTTCTTAAGTTCACACTGAATTATTAGGCAAGATTACTTCATAGGCAATGCTGCGAGTTTCCTAGCACAACACATCACGAAGCACAAGAGTCCAGGCTGTTGCACTTCTAGTGATGTTCAGATTGAGCAGTAGGTTCAAGTGGTGTCTGCCTGACCCTGCATTTTGAAGTTCCCCATCAACTCTTCACCTAGTGTGTTTCAAATCTATTTTATATTTGCCATCTCTTTCACTTACACTTAAAATCTGGAGTACTAACAATCCTAGCATAACTACAGCTTTGCTTAATCCTGTATCTAGAATCATAAAATAAAGCAACACTGCTAATAACACCAAGACCACTGAATGCAGTTTTAGATTTCTCTGCAGTTTTTATTTTTGAACTTATCCCACTATGAATGAACTGTCAAAATACTGTATTTTAAAGTCATTTGAAGTAATTATTTTCTGAGTGGTGATGTCACCAACTTTATATAGAGTTCATTTGTTTTGATCTGTTTTTTGTTTTCAGGGCTTTTTTTTTTTTTTAAATATGTGAAATATTTACATGGCTCCAAAGTCAAAACTAGATAATACGGTACTTTTAGAGAAATCACCTCTCCTCCTTCCGCCCTCTCCCTAACCCTCTCCTTTTCTTTTTTTGAGTAAAGGTAGATTTATTTAGAGATACACTGAAAGGCAAGAGAGAGGCCACGAGGTGTGGGGGTTGGGCGCTCAGATTAGAGTAAAAGTACTCACTCCATAGACAGAGTTCAGGCCGTTGCCAAAGGGGGAGCAGCGAGAGGGAGGGCGGTGGCCAGGTGCTGTGTTCGCCAGTTTTTATGGGCGCGGTAGTTTC